GGGAGAGGGAGGGGGGAGGAGGAAGGAGAGGAGACGCGGGGCGCTGTTTCTCCAAATCGAGGACACAAAACCATAACATGGAGGGGAAACATGTGTGCTCAGAACTGTTGGGCGCGACTAGCAGGATCTCGAATTACGCTCGGATCCCGCACGTACGCGTCAAAATAGGTGGCGGGCAGCGTGTCCCTTCAGAGCTCAGCTGCAAAGAGAGAGTGTGGCAGGGAGGGGGGATGAGAGAAAGAGAGAGAGAGAGAGCAAACAGATCGAGCTGCAAAAAAAATGGCCCTGCGAGTGATGCGAAACACGTCTTGTGCTCAGGGGCGGCGTGCACAACCTTGGGTGCAGTGCTTGTGGCAAGCATCCTAGCAAGCACATGCCCCCCCCCGACATTCAAACTCCAAGACTGTGGATGCGGGCGTGGGCGCCTGTTCTGGCCCAGCGCGCAGCACGGAACCAACCCACGTGCCAGCTCTTGGCACGGCGCTTGGGCAAAACAAATACTACTAGAACGACCCTACAATGAGGGAGACTGCAAGAGTGCGCCAAGACCAATGCAACCCTGAGAGGTAGAGGGAATGTAACGGGACAGTTGGGACAGTGGGGACAATGGGACAGCGGTTGGGACCGTTGGGAAAGAGGGGAGAGCGGGACCGTGGTTGGAACAGTGGTGGGGTCAGTGGGGACAGTGGGACAGTGGTTGGGGCACTGGTGGGGACAGTGGGGACGGTGGTGGGAACTGTGGGGGGGGACAGTGGTGGTGAGGACAGTGGTGCTGGGAAACCGGCAGTGACCCCGCTCGGTTTTCTGGAGGGGGGGGGGTTCGAACCGGTAGTGACCCCCCCCAGTTTTCTGGAGAGGGGAGGAGGGGATTCGAACCGGTAGTGCCCCCCCCGTTTTCTGGAGGGGGAGGGGAAGGGGTCCGAATCGGTAGTGACCCCCCCCCCCCCCCCCGGTTTTTCGGGGGGGGACGGGTTGGGACCCCCCAGTGACCCCCCCCCCGATTTTCCGCCAGCAGCGGTAGAACACGCTCTTTCTAAGATCATGAAGGGCCCCGAGCCCAAAATTGCATGCGTGCTTGGGCGTCCCCGGCACTTCTGGGGCGTTTTGCGTGGGCCTCTGGCGCGGAAATCTGGCGCAGGGGGGGCCCAAAAACAGGCCGAGGACCCCCAAGACGTTTCTCAAGGGGGGGCCCCGAGCCGCCCCGAGATCTCTCCCGGACGCCCAGGGGCCTCAAGACTGCCGAAGAGGCCCCCGGGAAGGCTTCAATGGGAGCCTCACGAGTACCCCCCAAGAGCCAAGAGGGCCCCGAGGACCTCCCCTCCGCTACGTGGGAGGCCCACAGGAGCCCGCCTCCGCGCCGCGCGGCCTTGGCCATGCGATCTCCCGCGCCGCTGGGGCGAAGGGGGCAGGCGGAGGGTGTGCAGCGCCGCCGGAGCAACTCGATGCAACGCAGTGGGAGCAGATCTGCACCAGCGAAACTGGCCTCGGCATTCCTCGGCGGTTCTGTGTCCCCCCCCCCGCACACACCACAAGGAAGCCGACCCACTTGGCAAACAAAAGGGCCGGCTTTCCGTGAATGCAAACTGCGCTCGGTTGATGCTAAGGATTACGGTGGTGATGATGATGCTGTTCAAGTTGCTGCTAGATCTGATGGTAATGATGGTGGCAGGATGACGATGATGACGATGATGACGATGATGATGATGCTAAGGATGAGGATGATGATGATGACGATGATGTTGCTGGTGCTGATGATGCTGATGATGCTGATGATGATGATGATGATGGTGACCAGGGAAGCCAGGGATATGATGGTGATGATGGTGGTATGATGACGATGATGACGATGATAACGATGATGATAATGATGATGATGCTGATGCTGAAGATGATGATGATGATGATGATGATGATGATGATGCTGATGATGATGCTGAGGATGATGATGATGGCGTTTGTCATGGTGATGTCGGGATTGGCCAGCGATGATGATGACAGTGAGGCGAAGACAGGGAAACTGGAGAATCAGGAGCAAGCTTGTGAACGGTAGCCCTGTGGACGTTCGGAGAGCTCGCCTCTTTCACGCGATTCCCGTTCACGTCATAAGAGATGTTCAAGGTCAGCGTTGCGCCCAATACATCCTCACAACATGGAAGTGTCGGAGGATCTTCAAGACACCTGATGCTAAACATGACGCGCTCGCCTGAAAGATCCTCACGACATGGAGATGCTGACATCGGTCGCGAAATCTTCGGAACTTCGAAAGTGAGGCTCTCGCCTCCCCCGAACAAATGGGATGCTGAAGCCCGACCAGTTTGAAGCGACATGGGTTAGTTTCGAAACAGTGGACGACTACGACGGACAACGGACGACGCAGACGAAGACGCCGACGACGACGCCGACGACGCCGACGCCGACGCCGACACCGACGCCGACACCGACGCCGACGCCGACGCCGACGACGACGACTACGAGCACGGCGACGACGACGACGGCGACGGCGGCGACGGACGAACGACGACGGACGACGGACGGACGACGGCGACGGACGACGCTGGCGACGGCGAAGGCGGCCCCTGGACACCGTCGCGGGAGGAGGAGGAGGAGGAGGAGGAGGAGGAGGAGGAGGAGGAGGAGGAGGAGCGCGCTCCGGCCAGGCTCCCGAGGCGGATCTGGAGGCGCCCTGGGCCGAGGCCCGGGGCGGAGCAGCACGGCCCCGAGGAGCTCCGTCGGGCGCCGCTGGCAGGCCCAGAGAGGGCCCGCGGCGCCCACGCTTCTATGGCTATGCGCTCGACGCGCGAGCGACTTGCGCGGCGGCGACGGCGACGCCGCCGACGACGGGCAAGCAGGCGGCGCGGGCGGTCGGAAATGCATGCCCTCCCCAATGCCGCCTGCCTCCGCGTCCCTCCCCCTCACCCGCCTCCGTGTGCAGTCTCACTGCCCCCCCGTCCCGCCCCTCCCCCTCCCCTGCACGCCCTCTCGTGTCCGAGTCCCCTCCTCACTGCCCCTTCCTTGACACGAGCCGTGCCTTCGGGAGCGTTGCGCGCCAAGGAGATGACTACGCATGCTATCACAGACACCTGGGCCTTTTGTGGAGCTCCCTGTGGGGCCACGAAACGCTGTACTGGGTGGCGCGGACGCGTGTGATCACAGCCACTGGGGCCTTCGGAGGAGCTCCCGATGGGGCCACAAAGCGATGTACTGGGTGGCGCGTGCGCGTGTGATCACAGCCACCTAGGGCCTTCGGTGGAGCTCCCTGTGGGGCCACGAAACGCTGTACTGGGTGGCGCGGACGCGTGTGATCACAGCCACTGGGGCCTTCGGAGGAGCTCCCGATGGGGCCACAAAGCGATGTACTGGGTAAGGAGAGGGAGGGGGGAGGAGGAAGGAGAGGAGACGCGGGGCGCTGTGTCTCCAAATCGAGGACCTAATACCATAACATGGTGGGGGAACATGTGTGCTCAGAACTGTTGGGCGTGGACCCATTCCAGATTCCAGCGCGACCAGCAGATCTCGAATTACGCTCAGATCCCCTGCGTATGCCTCAAACTAAGTGGTGGGCAGCGTGTCCCTTCAGAGCTCCGCTGCAGAGAGAGAGTGTGACAGGGAGGGGAGATGAGAGAGAGAGAGAGAGCAAACAGATCGAGCTGCAAACACTTGGCAAAGCCGTGGCAAGCTGGGAGAGCACCCCGCGTCTGCGCCTCGAACAGGCACCACGGGGCGTCCTTGTTTGCCCACCGTGATTAAATTGCACGATGGCCCTGCGAGTGATGCGAAACACGTCTTGTGCTGAGGGGCGGCGTGCACAACCTTGGGTGCAGTGCTTGTGGCAAGTATCCCAGCAAGCACATGCCCCCCCAACACTCAAACTCCAAGACTGTGGATGCGGGCGTGGGCGCCTGTTCTGGCCCAGCGCGCAGCACGGAACCAACCCATGTGCCAGCTCTTGGCACGGCGCTTGGGTAAAACAAAGGGTACTAGAACGACCGACATTGAGACTGCAAAAGTGCACCAAGACCAATGCAACCCTGAGAAAAAGAGGGAATGTAACGGGACTGTTGGGACAGTTGGGACAGTGGGGACAGTGGGACAGCGGTTGGGACCGTTGGGAAAGAGGGGAGAGCGGGACCGTGGTTGGAACAGTGGTGGGGTCAGTGGGGACAGTGGGACAGTGGTTGGGGCACTGGTGGGGACAGTGGGGACGGTGGTGGGAACTGTGGGGGGGAAAGTGGTGGTGAGGACAGTGGTGCTGGGAACCGGTAGTGACCCCGCCCGGTTTTCTGGAGGGGGGGGGGTCGATTCGGTAGTGACCCCCCCCGGTTGTCTGGAGAGGGGAGGAGGGGGTTCGAACCAGTAGTGACCGCCTCCCGGTTTTCTGGAGGGGGCGGGGAGGGGTTCGAATCGGTAGCGACCCCCCGCTGGTTTTTCGGGGGAGGGGGGACGGGTTGGGAACCCCCAGTGACCCCCCCTCGATTTTCCGCCAGCAGCGGTAGAACACGCTCTTTCTAAGATCACAAAGGGCCCCGGGCCCAAAATTGCATGCGTGCTTGGGCGTCCCCGGCACTTCTGGGGCGTTCTGCGTGGGCCTCTGGCGCGGAAAACCGGCGCAGGGGGGGCCCCAAAACAGGCCGAGGACCCCCAAGACGTTTCTCCAGGGGGGGCCCCGAGCCGCCCCGAGATCTCTCCCGGACGCCCAGAAGGGCCCCAAGACTGCCGAAGAGGCCCCCGGGAAGCTTCAGTGGTGGGAGCCTCACGAGTACCCCCCAAGAGGGCCCCGAGGACCTCCCCTCCGCTCCGACCCCACGTGGGAGGCCCACGGGAGCCCGCCCCCGCGCCGCGCGGCCTTGGCCGTGCGATTTCCCGCGCCGCTGGGGAGAAGGGGGCAGGCGGAGGGTGTGCAGCGCCGCCGGAGCAACTCGATGCAACGCAGTGGGAGCAGATCTGCACCGGCGAGGCTGGCCTCGGCATTCCTCGGCGGTTCTGTGCCCCCCCCACCCGCACACACACCACAAGGAAGCCGACCCACTTGGCAAACAAAAGGGCCGGCTCTCCGTGAATGCAAACTGCGCTCGACAACGCCCCGATTGCAGGCAGCGTTCGGTCGCCAATCATCGCTTTGATCTTTGAGCTGAGGCCCTGGGCTGCACGCGGGCTGGCGGTCGGCACCGACCTCTTACTGCGCCGCCGCAACGCCGTGCGCGCCCCGCAGCAGACCAGGGCTGGCCTCCTTCACATGTCCCGCTCGGGTATCCGAGCACAGCACGTCAAGGTGGTCTGGCGGCCAGGGAAGACCCACCTCGCGTGCTGTGCTGGGATATCCGAGTACAGCATGTGAAGGTGGCCTGGCGGCCAGGGCCGACCCCATTCACATGTTCTGCTCGGGTATTCCAGCAGAGCATGTCAAGGTGGTCTGGCGGCCGGGGCCGACCCCCGTTCACATGTCCTGTTCGGATTTCCGAGCAGAGCATTGGAAGGTGGTCTGGCGCTAGGGAAGACCCCCTTCAAAGGTCCTTCTCGGACATCCGAGCAGGGCGAATGAAGGTGGTCGGCCCCAGCCGCCATCGCAAGAGCGCGCGCTCGCGCATGACATGCTCTGCTCGGATATCGAGTAGCGGCTGTCATAAGCGAAATTGGTGGGGACGCCGTGCCGAAGCAGCGCCAAGCTCGTCACGCAGCATTCCAAAGACACTTAGTTTCGCTCGGAGATCCGAGCGGAGCATGTGAAGGGGGTCGGCCCCGGCTGCCAAACCACCTCACATGCTGTGCTCGGATATCCGAACAGGACACGTGAAAAAGGTCAGCCCTGGCCGCTAGACCACCTTCGCATGCTGCGCTCGGATCCCCAAGCAAAACATGAAGGAGGTCGGCCATGACCGCTGGACCACGTAAACATGATCTTCTCCGACACTCGACCAAAACATTGTGAAGCGGGTCGGCCCCGGCTGCCAGACCAGCCCACCAGGCGCTCGCGCGCTCTTGCCGATGGCGAGCGGGGGCCCGCGGCAGGGTTAGGAAGCAACTAGTGTCTAAAAACGGTTAAAACATTTGTTTGGAATACAATTTAAGAAATGGTTGCCCCCAGCGCTTTAGTGCGCCTATAGAAAACAAAAAAGGGAGGCGGGGCAAACTGGATCGCTGGATACGTCCCCGCGACCGCCCTGGCGCCGTGCGTGCAGCGGCAGATTCCTGCGCACCCCCACTTGGCGTCAGGCCACGCCTGCCACGCCCTGCGACCCCAGCGTGGATAGAGACTGCGCTCAGGGACCACTCCCTGCGCACCGCGCGCCCTGTCTGGGTTGCGAAGCGGCGCTGAATACGCAAATGCGGCACGCCGCTGGCATTTTTTATACAACGGGGTCGATGTTTAACTCCAAAACCCAATGGCGAACACTCGAAGTAACAATTCTTGACGCTTCGCGTATCCCCAGAAGGGTGCGCCCTTCCACTCGCTGGATCTGGGCTGACGCATCTCAATTGTGGAAGGTTCTCCTGCCTACATGTTTCCACACCCTGGATGCGTGTTCTGGCGTCGCGACTTTGATCCGCCGTCAGGCTCTTCCGCTAGACTTGTGTCTCCAGTCAGTCTGTGTTACCCGTCAGACTCCCTGGATCGACGTCCTCGGGACCGTTCCTACTTGTTCGTATCCAAACTGCTGGGAACGCTTTACGCGCCATTTTGGCTGCGCTCGGCTTCCTCGGTGCCTGTCTTCAGCCTCCCTGGATGCGCCGTTGCATGTCTCGTTCAGGGGCTGTTCTGCAGACTCCCTGGATTGCACGCTGGCTCTGACGCCCTGGCACGCTGCTGCCTGCCGCCTGATCGCGGCCTCGCGCGCGCCCGCCGTTAGTCGCGGCCGCAGCCCGCCCGCGACCGCCCGCCGCTGGCGCTTCCGCCTGCGGCTGTAAAAAAAAGAAGTATCCCCAGCAGCCCATCCAGAATTGATTGCCAGTTTTCTTGACGCCTCTTGGAGGCTATCTTGAGCCATGCTCGGCTAGAGGCTCTCGGAGGCTATCTTGAGCCATGCTCGGCTATCTTGGGCCATTTTGAGGCTTCCTTGAGGGCCCTTTGAGGGTTGTCGGAGGCTATCTTCAGCCATGCCTGGCTATCGTAAGCCATTTTGAAGGCCATCTTGGGGTATCTGGGGCTCTCTTGGAGCCATCTTGGGCCAAAAAGAACGGGGTGGAGGGTTTTTTGGAAAGGCTGGGAGGCCTGTTGGGGCCATCGTGGGCCCCATGGCTCAAAAAGAGGAGGTCCCTCGACCGCCCCCTTCGGAGGCTCAAAGATGGCGTCTGTTGGGCGATCTTGGGGCGTTCTTGGGCGCCTGTTGGGCGATCTTGGGGCCCCGTGGGTCTTTTTGGGCCCCTCCCGGGGCGAGTCTTGGGGCCCAGTTGGGGCTCTTTGGGGGGTCTGGGGGGCCTCTTGGGGCCGTCGTGAGCACCACGGCCCAAAAAGAGGGGGGGAAGAACCCCCCCCCTTTCGGAGGCTCTCAAACGGCATCTCATATTGGGGCCCTCTTGGGGCGATCCTGGGCGCCTCTTGGGCGATCGTGGGGTCGTCTTCGGCCTTTTTGGGCCCCTCTTGGGCATCTGTTGGGCCATCCTGCGGCATCCATTGATTCCCGCTCGGCTTTTGAACGGTTTGGGCATATTGTTTGAACGGTTTTCGAAGTAACATGAGCCATCTTGGAGGCCATCTTGCGACTTCGAAGCCCTCTTGGAAAAATACAATATTGGGCCATCTTGGGCGCCCGAACGCCTCGATACCCCCCCCTCTTTTCCTGGCCCAGGGGAGGGGGTAGGGGGAGGGGCTTCAGTGGAAGAGAGAAGAACCAACGCGCTATATCACCTAAGCCCGCGCGCTCCCGTTGTATAAAATCTATCAGTGGCATGCTGCCGCCGCGCGCGCGCGAAATTTCACCCCGTTGTATAACATCTATAAGCGGCATGCCGCCGCCGCGCGCGCGCTGGCGCTTGGCATTTTTGCATTCAGCGTCGTATATCCACATTGGGATGTTCCCGCCTTCCGATCAGAGAATGGATCCCACCAACCATCTGGGCTTACGTGGTATAGCGCGTTTGTTCTTCTCTCTGCCACTGAATACCCTCCCCCATACCACCTTCCCTGTGCCAGGAAAAAGGGGGGCACCGAGGCGTTAGAGCGTCCAAAATTGCCCAAGATTGCTCCAGGAGGGCTTCGAAGTGGCATAATGGCCCCCAAGATGGGCGAATATAGCCTCCGACATACCCCCAAGGAGGCCCCAAGGCAGCCCCAAGACGGATCCAAGTGCCCTTCAAGCCCTTCACGGCGCCCTCCAAGATGCCAGAACCGTTGAAAAGCCTATGGAAAAACAATATCGTTGGCAGTATCGCCGCTTCGTTTCCGATGGGCTTTGGGATCCTCAAGAGAGGGGCCCGAGAACGCCGAAGACGGCCCCAACATCGCCCAAGAGGCGCCCAAGAGCGCTCAAAGAGCGCCCCAAGATGCCGCTTGAGAGCCTCCGAAGGGGGGGCCCGAATTTCCCCCCTCTGTTTGGGCCGTGGTGCTCAAGACGGCCCCCAGGGGCCTCCCAGACCCCCCAAAGAACCCCAAGAAGGCTCCAAGAGGCCCCCCAGCCTGTCCCCAAAACCCCGCCCTGTTTGGCCCAATGTGGCCCCAAGGGAGCCCTAGACAGGCAAATATGTTCAAAAATGGCCGAAGATGGCCAAGCATGGCTCAAGAGACAGACCTCCAAGAGGCCTCGAGGCAGCCTCAATATGGCCCAAGATAGCCGAGCATGGCTCAAGATAGCCTCCAAAGGGGCCTCAAGAAAACTGGCAATCAATTATGGATGGGTTGGTGGGATACGAAAAGCGTCAAGAATTCATTCTCTCATCGGAAGACAGGAACATCCCCAGGTGAATATACGACACGGAATGCAAAACTGCCAATCGCCAGCGAGCGCGCGCGCGGCGGCGGCATGCCGCTGATAGATGTGATACATCGGGAGCGATGTAGCACTCCTAAACCCAATGGCAACAAAAACAGAATGTAAACATTCATTCTCTGATCGGAGAACGGGGACGTCCCCATGTGGATCTGCGACACGGAATGCACACATGCCAATCGCCAACGCGCGCGCGGCGGCGGCATGCCGCTGGTAGATTTGATGCAGCGGGAACGATGTTGAACTCCAAAACACAATGGCGAAAACCCAATGTAAAAAATCATTTTCTAATCGGACAACGGGAACATCCCCATGTGGATATGCGACACATGTTGAACTCCGAAATCCAATGGCAAAAAAAAAAACCATGTAAAAATTCATGTTCTGATCGGAAGACGGGAACATCCCCATGTGGATATGCGACACTGAATGCACACATGCAAATCGCCAACGCGCGCGCGCGCGCGCGGCGCGCGCGCGCGCGCGCGCGCGCGCGGCGCGGCGGCATGTCGCTGACAGGTTTGATTCAAAGGGAGACAGGTGAACTCCCAAATCCAATTGCGAAAACACAATGTAAAACATATTATGTGATCGGACAACGGGAATATCCCCATGTGGATATGCGACAATGAATGCATACATGCCAATCGCCGACGCGCGCGCGCGCGCGCGCGCGCCGGCGGCGGCGGCGGCGGCGGCATGCCGCTGATAAGCTTGATTCAACGGGAGCGAGGTTGAACTCCAAAATCCAGTGGCGAAAACCCAATGTTAAAAATATTCTCTGATCGGAAGACGGGAACATCCCCATGTGGATCTACGACACTGAATGCACATATGCCAATCGCCAGCGCGCGCGTGCGCGGCGGCGGCATACCGCTGCTAGATGTTATACCACGGGAGCGATGTTGAATTTCAAAACCCAATGGCGAAAACCCAATGTAAAAATTCATGTTCTGATCGGATGACGGGAACATCTCCATCGGCATTCTCCCTGGTACCGCGGTATATACAAATGGCATCGATCGGCATCAATGGAATTTGTTCCAGGGGAGCAAATAAAAAATAGTTATTCGGATGCGAATTGACAGTCGGGATCCGAGGTGGGGGGGAGGGGGTGGTCATCATTTTTTGAACCGGTTTTGGACATTACTGGGAGGTTCTCGTCGAAAAGATTGAGGATCCAGCCCCATTTGGGAGCTGTTACGCTGGAATGGGCCTCGGACTAAGCAGGATCAAGCCAGATCAAGAGGGGTTAAGCGGGATTAAGCCGGATCCAGCGGCACTAAGCTGGAGTAAGCCTGATTTCGGACCAGGGCGAAAACAGAATTTCACCTCCATGGAGTTGCATCCGAAGGCAAGGGTGGACTACCTTTGCTCGGATATCCAAGCAGGACACGTGGAGGGGATCGGCCCCGGGCTGCTGCGGGGGCGCGCGCGGCGAGGCGGCGGCGCAGTGAGGGGTCGGTGCCGACAGCCAGCCCGCCTGCAGCCAGCAAGTCGAAAGGCAGAACGATGACTTGTCATCCGAGCGCTGTCTGCATTCACGGAAAGCCGACCCATTTGGTACCAAGTGGGTAGATTTCCTGGACCCCAAAACGCCCCAAGAGGCTCCCGAGAGGCCCCCCAAACGGCCCAAGAGGGCCCCAAGACGGCCCAAGAGGCGCCCAAGACGGCACAAGAGGGCCCCAAGACGGCCCCAAGAGGGGGACCACGAACCCGAAAAGTTTAGCCTTCCGCCCCAAGAAGCTCCCAGGAGGCCCCCAGTGCCCCCCAAGAAGCACCAAGAGGCCCCCAAGAGGTTCCCAAGAGGCCTCCAAAAGGACTCCGAAAGGGCCCCAATAGGACTCCCAAGAAGGCCCAGAGACGCCAAATAGAGAGCGACCGGTCACGCAAAAAGCTCTTCACACCAAGGCTCCCAAGAGCGAACGGTGACGTACACAAGCTGCTAAGACCAAGGCTCCCAGCAGAGAGCGGTGACGTACCAAGTTCCTGACACCAAGGCCCAGCCAAAGCTCAGGAACGGGCGGGAACGCAACAATCTCTGAACACCAAAGCTCCCAAAAGCGAGGGGTGACGTCACAAGGTCTCAATGCCAAAGCTCCCTGTACGAACGGTGGTGT